TTTTGGGACTGAGAATTGATGGAAACCTTGTAACTGGCCAAGATTCGTCACCAGCTAGTTGGGTTCCAATGTGCCAGGAGCTTTTGGGCTTCACACCCAAATTGGAAAAAGGGTCCAACCAACTTATAATCACTTCGCTGGCAGATGAGTGTAAGCGAAAACTTCCAGCAAATGTCTCAGATGATGCCTGCTAGAAAAGGGCTCGGGTTTTTGTTTTGTGGACAATTGGAGGTTCACTATTTCCGAACACAACCGGCAATACTGTGCCTTTGCTTTATTTGCCCTTACTTACGGATTTTAATTCTTGTAAAAAACTAAGTTGGGGGAGTGCATGTCTTGCGGTGTTGTATAATAATCTTTGTAAAGCATCAAAAAGGACAAAATGGGATATAGGTGGATGCCTAATTCTTTTGCAGGTAGAACTTGATTTACTTTATTTTTTCCTTTTATGTATTACAGTTTGTGTTCTTTTAACCTAACATGTGTTACATTTACAGATTTGGGCTTATGAGCAAATCCCAAGGATTCGCCCCATGAGGAAAAATCCGGAAGACGACGATGACACATTGGCCTTGGGTTCAAGATGGAGGTGTTCATTGGATTTTTTGCAGGTGGCCTCTCACTGTCTCCCAGCACAACGAGATCAACTCGCGAGCCTTAGGAAGGCTGAAGATGTAAAGGTTTCTAATTTTATATTTTATTAAATTCTTTTTGAATGAATTTGGACTTAATGAATATATGGGTTTTGCACTATTTTCGTAGAAATGTGGTTTAGTTAATATGCTGCTTTACAATGCTCAAAGAAAGCTGCCTCTTTTTTAATTTATCTTAAAATTTCATGTGTGTGTGTGTGTGTGTGTGGTTCTGTGCAGCACATCAACTTTATTTGGAAATATGGTCTGAAAGTTTTGAACCTCTTTCCCGCCTTCAGCTGCAATTAATGTAGCTATCAGTTCATACATTGTTATCATTCATTTGTCCTAGCTAGATGAAGAAGCCCAATGGGATTTCCTTGATTCTGTTTCTTCATACATATACATACATACTGTTCCTTGATTCTTTGAAACAGTATTCTGTTCAAAGATTGTTTCAGAAACTTCAGTTTCAAGACAGTGGAATCAGACTTTTCTGAACTTGAAAAAATAACCCACTTATGCCCATTGAAACAGAAACCTTGAAATCATGCTGAGATTCATAAAAGTTTAGAAATACCTAAAATAAGTTTATTTGGCAGCCTTGATTGTGTTCTGACAGCCTTGATTGTATGTTCTGTTTTCTATTTCAGTTTATTTGGCAACCTTATGAAGGAGTGGAGATACCTGAAAGATGTACACGGGGTCTGGATCATTAGCAATCCAACACTTGGCTAATTTGCTGGGATATCGTTGAACCGCATCAAGTTGACCGTGTGATGCGACAATTTGGCTCGAAACAATTGATCCCACCACAACCAATGATTGCTGGTTTCGAAGAATGGGAAAAGTTGCACAAGTATGGTAGGACTGGAAGAGCTGGGAACAATTGGGAGTTTCATCATCGTGAATACATCGAAAAATGGAACAACAGGGTGGACTCCATTGTGGCTGGGTCTCCGAGTGGTCAATCCTCAACCGATGATGATTATCTCCCGTGGTATGAAACTAATACCATTAAATTTATCAAGGATCCCAATAAGTACAACTTTCAGGAGGAAGGGTATCGTGAGCATCCGGATCGTGCAAAATTCTATGTAAGTATTTTTCTTTTTATCTCTAATCGTCTTTTTTTTTAAGGCTGGTTTCTTTTTTAAATTGTATTTTGAATTTTTTGTCGATTTGGTATGGATTTTGCTTCCTACACTGTTTAAGTTGTGGCTATTTTCCTTTACGTGGGTCTACGATATTGGTTGTTTCTATACTTAACCTGAAAGTTGGAAATGCATCTTGCTATCTCTTGTAAACTTGTAATTGCTGTTAAAAAGTAAGGTGGTCTATGTGGCCAATTTTCGTCCTTTATTTATGTTTGGTAATTGCTGATAACTTAAAAATAAGAAAAAGTCTAGCAACCTTATCTTTTCAGTAAATTTTGGTGATTTTTGTGTTTTTAGTAGTTTCATATTAATTGTACGTTGTTAGTTCATCATTCATTTTAGTGTGAGTTGATTTATGCTCCTTTTCACATGAATTTTCAGGCTGATGCTTTGAGCGATATCTGCAAAAAGGTAGAAAACTACAAGAAATCAGAAGATGTCTGCCAAAATTCAGTTTATATGAATATCCTTCTTGAACTCACTTCTCATTCTATGAGTGCTTTATCCCTTGGAGTACATGAGATGCCAATTTTGAAACCCACACAATCACTTGTTGATCTTCAACCACAACCTTCTCAACCGGTTGGCAAAGTTCACAAACAAAACATTCCTCACCGTGGGATTGGAGGAGGCAGGCAGAAAATCGTGGAAGAAGATGAACCAGAATTTGATTTTGAACTCAATGCCGACTTGTTTCAAACTCCAACCCCCCAGAATCAGGATGAAGCCAACAAAGAAGGTGAATCTACAAATATGGATGTGGAATCTAGTCTACCTTTGGCGATAGCAAGGCCACGTAGAAAAATAAAGAAAGTCAATCGCTACACGCCATCCACTGCCCAACCCGAGCCACTGCTAGAGGAGGAGGAATTGTAATGTCTTCATTTTGTTGATAATCTACCTTTGATGAACTTTTTGTGATGTAGTTTTTTATTTAAACATGTTACAATTGCAATATTTTGTTGAATTGATGTGTGAATTCAAGGGTTATGTTGAGTTGAGGCTGTTGTTGGTGTTGTTTTGGTGATGTATGGAAACTGTTTTTCAACAGGTTTGAACAGGTTTGCAATTGCAGACTTGTTCTGTTTTTTTTTTTGTATATGGATTTAAAACCGGATTTCAAAATTCCGTTTTTTTTGCAAAATACTTTCTCAAAACAGATTTTAGATTTCCATTTTTTACTTCTGATAAAAATTTATTTCACATTATGCTGGGACAAATTCGATAAAAATTGGTAAATGAAAAATAGAATAAAAGTTTCCGTTTTTGTTAATCAAACAAATTATAAATTACTAATTACAACTAATTCTTATAAGAAGGAATGTGAAAATCCGTTTTATGAACAATACATGTAAAAACGGAAATTCTATTTCCGGCAAATATTGTTTCTGACCACTCCCTCAGACACCTATATTTCAGTCGACTCCTTTTATTTGGGACATATTTTGGGGTTTGACACCACAAACCAAAATGCTTTAGTTGGAAACTAGTGTGTTCTTGGTTGAAGACAAGGTTTGCTAGAGTCATTTTTCCTAAAACCCCTTATCTATGATGGAGAAGTGAAACTCAGTAGAGCTCAATAACAAATTGACTGTTTTGGTCCTTTTGAATTGAAAAAGCATATCTTTTGAAGAGGTCGAAGCAACAACGTTATTCTTACCTACGACTTTCACCTTATGAGATTCCTCACTAAGCTGGACAAAGTGACTGTAATTTGTGAACATTCTGAGTCACGTCACTAAATGATATATATATATATATATATATGTAATGACCACTTTGCATCGTAAAATAGTGATTTAGACACTAAATGATTGCAATATTTGTTACTAGGTAAATTAAATTAACAAGATAATTTTCGCTAAATACATAACAGTGATTAAAGTGGAATGCACACATTTCATTGCTTCAATTGTCAAGAAAATAATGACAGATTTAAAATGAACACCAAAACTTAAAATTATATAAATAACCCACAAAATATGTAAAAATAACAAAACAATCCAATTTCACTTTTTATTCATTTATTTTCTATTTCATTCATTTCCCTTTACTACTTTTCATAACCACAAAAATATGCTATATGATCTTGAAAAATATTTATTTATTTTCAAAGTCTATTTTTTTTACTTCCAAAGAATGTGAGTTGGGTCCAGGGATAATTTTGTCACTTTACATTTTTTTAAAAAAATTTAAATTTACAATTTCTTATTCTCTGTTTTTTTACAATCTTCTTCTTATACTTCTTGACTTGTATATGTTGGTATTAGTATAATTAATAAATTTCAAGAATTAATTTACCTTTTGTATTCAACTTTTAGATTATAAAATATTTTAAAAAATAACGAAAATAAACAAGAAAAATTTGAGTTGAAATAAACATTAAAATTAATAGTTTATTATTTTAAATAAAAATGAAAAAGAAAACCGATTATTGATAATTCCCTTTAATCCCTCAATAGTTTTACAATTGCTTTAGGACTTTGCCAATATATATACTTAATTACCAACTAGATGCTTGACCCAGTCAGATGCCCGGGCGCCCCTCTACTTTAATTTTGTGTTAATAGATAAATAAATTCTTGATTTGGAAAAAATAAAATAGCTACACATTTGTTTTTTTTTTTCCTTTTTTTAGTCAAAAATAAAAATAAAAATAAAAAATCATCTGCCAAAGCAAAAAAATATTAAAAAGTACAACGATGTAGAAATCATACAAAAGAATGTGGAGTAATAAAGGGGATAAGTTTATAGACAAATTTAAATGTTATTTTAATTTGATTGATAAATGATAAATGTTAAAAGTTAAAATTGTATAGTTATTTTTGTAAAGTAGCTTTATTTCTCGGGATAAGATTTTTTTTTTCCTTTTAAAAAGGGGATGACACGTGGCAGAATGGTCAATGCAATATGGTGCATTTGGAGCCAAAAAGTTTTAATAAGAAGTTGCCACATCAATATTCTGTATTCTGCTTTAATAGGGTAAAAGAGATAATTTTCCTTTAAAAAGAAGTAAGAAATAAGCCCATATTGCCTCCACATCCATGTAAATTAACCAAAACTGTTGGACTACCATTAATATCACTTGTCGGTCCGATTAGTAAAAAATTGGCCCAGCAATGATTAAATTTATTATTTTATAAATAAAACTAAGGGAAAATCTATTAGATTGAATGGAATTTGGGTTGGTTGGACAAAATTGACAAAAGCATTTCAAACAGTTCGGATAAGATTGGATAATGAAAAAACTTTTGAGTACTATTAACAGTTACCTCAAAGTTTCGGACAGAACCGCCAATATTTCTAACTATTGAAAATGGGCCCAATGGCATTGTTTTAATCCTCCAATTCTCCAATTTCTCTCGTCTCTCCCACCGCCCAACTTCTAACCCACTCCCCACTCTCACTCTCCCCGCTTGTGTGCATCACCACCCTCGCCTCTCACCATTTCTACTCCTCGAATGTGATAAATTAATTAAAATAGGAGGGGAAACCAAGTTGGGAATCGCCATTTTGGTTAAAGAAAGGAAAGAGACGACCCGAGGAATAGAAAAGAGAGAAAGAAGAACAGTGAAGGAAGGAAGATGGGCTGAGGTAATCGGATCTGTTAATTCTTGAAGCTGCTGTCTTTGATGTGTTTTCTTGGGTTGTTTTCAGTTTTGGATAATTGAATTGGTGCTAAAAGTAGTGAATTGATTTGGGTAGCTACCTTTGGGTTGATCCGGGTTGGACAACTAGCTCGTCAGTATATGCACTTTGATGCTTAGTTGATGTCTATTGCTCTATTGAATTTGATTTTTTCTAATTGATGTTGACCCTGTGGGTATTGATGGGCTTGAGATAGGTGAAGGGTAATGGTGGTGAAGATGTTTAAATTTTGTTGCTAGTTTTAGTTTTTTTTTTTTTTGTTATTATTATTATTATTTTTTTTTTTGGTTAAAGCTAGTTTTAGTTTTAATTAAACAAGAAAGACAATGGATGTTATGATGATGTTTCTGTTTTATTTATGATGATGTTTTTGTTATGACATGCTTGCTGATTTTGTGCTTGAGACGGGGAAAGGGGAATTGTACAGTGGAGTTCGGTCAAAATTTGAGAGGGAAAAGGAAGGAAGTTTAAGGTGTGGGTTAGTCTGGGAGTTAGAACTGGGGTTTGGAGCTTTTGGGAGAATGGGAACTAGGACTTAGTTTAGGACTGTTTCTTTGTTCTTGTGGATTCAGGGAAGCAGCAGCTGAAGTGAATGATTTCATGATTTTTTTTTTGTTACAAAAAAAAATAAAAAAATAAAACCAGAAGTAAAAGTTAAATAAGGCAGCCATGTAAACATGTAGGTTCTGCTAGGGAAGTATGATTGTTTTGCTGTGGAATTCTTACATTATTGTTAATCGACCTGTAGATAGTGTACGAGGGTGACGAGCTTCCTTGCAATACTTGTTACTGTGATTGTTCATCTTCCCTTCTCCAAACGAGGATTATTCATCTTCCCAAGTGTGATTCCGAACCTACTCCACTAGCTTATTTGAATAAAAGGCACCGTTCTTTTGGCAAGGGTTTTGGCCATTTCTTGTTCTGGGTTCTGATCTATCTTTACCTGGTGACTGGGTGACTAGGACTTTGTCCTCTCTAATGGAATCCTTTGAAAATCATCAAAACCTTGAACGAGATGATGAGAATATCCATCAAGCCGATCCATTGCTTCCCGACCCACATCAATACACCATCACTGCGGTAGGGCCTTCCTCAGAGGCGGCAGCAGACCCACCTGCTCCAAGATCTTCTCAGAATTCTTCTGATACTGTTCATATGTTTAAAGAAGAGCCAGCGGACAACGACATTGAGGGTTCACTTTCAGTTGCGCTCACGCCGTCGCAGTCGGTGGTGGCTCCGCCTAAGAGGTCTACGAAGGACCGCCATACTAAGGTAGAAGGCCGTGGCAGGAGAATCCGTATGCCTGCCACCTGTGCCGCCAGAATCTTCCAATTGACGCGGGAACTGGGCCATAAGTCGGATGGAGAGACTATCCGGTGGCTCCTCGAGCGAGCGGAGCCAGCCATCATTGAAGCCACCGGAACGGGCACTATACCGGCTATCGCGGTTTCTGTTAATGGAACTTTGAAAATCCCCTCCATGCCAAGTACACCGACGACCACCGCCGAAGGCGAGACCACCAAGAAAAGAAGAAACAGAACTTCAAGTAGCGATATCGATGAATTTAACAATAACTCTAGTTTTGCCCCGGCGGCACCCCTTGCCCAAGGTCTGTTTCCGGTTTGGACAGTGGACGCGCATTGTGGTGCTGGAATGGTTTCCACGAGCGCGGTTCCTGGTGGTGCATTTTTCATGATCCCACAATCTGGGGCCACTATTGCAGCTGATGGGCCGTCTAATCACCCTCAGTTGTGGGCCATTCCGGCTGCTACCATGCCGGTGTCTAACGTTTCTGGGAGGCCGGTGTCTAATTTTGTGCCCGGAGTGCAGCCTGGAGCCACGTTGAATTTTGCCACTGCGGCTACTAGTGGAGATGGTAAAGTGGGTATAGTGTCCAATGATGTTGAGAATGGGGAAAGGAACCATCCAGTTTCGCTGCAGGATTCAGATGACGTCAACTTTAGTGGTAACAGAGGGGCCACCACCTCAACAAGCACTCCGGGGACTCAAATGATAAGGGAATTTTCATTGGAGGTTTATGATAGGAGAGAACTTCATCAATTCATGGTTGGTGCTTCTGCCACTGCTGCTGCCGCCAGTGGAGCCGGAAATGGCCACTAGACTTCATCAAAAGCCTGAACTTTTTAGTTAGATGGATATGAATTGTGGTAGTTAAGGGTGGTAGGAATTTAGCTTTTGCTTATTTTAATTGCAGAGCAAAATGCACATTATTAGACTTTAAGCAGTGGGTAGTTGTGTAGTTTGAATCGAACCTCTTTGTGTTAGCAGTTTGCACATTGTACTGATTAGGTTCAATCAGCTTGGGGAAGTAGCAAACGCCAAACAAGTGATTGTTTCTAATGCTAAATTAGTAGTAGTTCAGTTGATACTACCCTGTTCCCATGACCATGATCATCTAGTAATATTTCTCTTGTGTTAATCTGAAAGTCTCCGGACTCACTGCAGATATGTATATACAGTTATGGACACTTCATTAGAGATTAAATTAGTTAAAGCTCCTCTTATTGGGGTTTTAACTTTTAAGCCTGATGGCAGAATGACAAAAACAAATACATCTCAAAATGCCGCATGGATAACGCAAGAACACATTTTTAAAGTGGAAAAGGAGACTACAGTGGAGTACTGTACAATGTGCGTTTTGTGCTAAAGCTCTTGGGTTTAGTGATGCAACTGCAAAATAGAATGGACATAAAGATAAAGGAACGAAAGGACAGTGCTGAAAATAAAGAAAACTTGAAGGAATTAAAACAGGAATTTTCTTTTGGTTAAACCCCACGATATTGCTGCCACATACATATATAGGTCCTGACTTAGTTTGTCTGCTAGCATAAAATATCTAATAACAAAAAACTATCTCTGTTTATCACTAACTGCATTCTAGACATAATAGGCTTCCATTAAATTATCAGTAATTAAATTAATATCCATCACAATCCTTAAGCCGGTTAGGAATCTTCCTTTCACGTGCTGGCCTGTGTGTTGCAACATTCGCCCCTTCTTGTACTGCAACCTTGTCCTCAAGATTGAATGTAGGGAAATCTTGTTTGAAATCGGACAGCGACTCCCAGGTGGCATCACAAGCAGGCTGTTGTTGCCACTGTACCAAAACTTGTGGGATGAACTGGCCGTGTTGGAGAATTCAACGCGTACCCAAAATTTTATCAGGCAGCAGCAGAGGATGGTCATCCACAAATTCCAAGGGCAGAGGATTGAAGGTTGCCTCAGACTCTGGACTAACTTTCTTCAACAGAGATACGTGGAAAACATCATGGATTTTCGCAGTGGCGGGAAGCTTCAGACGATAAGCTACCGGGCCGATGCATTCAATAATAACAAAAGGGCACTAAAAACGTTTTGCAAGCTTCAGAGGTTGGCGATGAGCTAGGGAAGACTGCCAGTAAGGCTGTAGCTTGAGCAAAACTGAGTCACCCACCTGAAATGTCACATCCCTGCGCTTGACATTGGCTTGGTTCCGCATATGATTCTGGGCCCGATGCAGATTGGCTTTCAAACGTGAAATAAGGGCAGTGCTGACTGAGCAATTCCTCGACTGAGGCAACAGCGGCAGTTCCATTTGTATAATCTAACAGGGATGGGGGAGGGCGACCAAAAACTGCTTCAAACGGAGTCATGGAGATGGCAGAGTGCCAAGCGGTGTTGTAGTGCCATTCAGCCCATGGGAGGTAATTCAACCACGAAACATTTGAGATAGTCCTCTAAACAGCGGTTCAAGACCTCCAATTGCCCGTCGGTTTGGGGATGGTAAGCACTACTAGTGGCTAAGGTGGTGCCCTGTAACCTAAACAACTCTCTCCAAAAGTGACTCATGAAGACCGGATCACGATCAGAGACAATTACTGAAGGAAAAATCTTGGCTACATCACGCACAAATATTTCAGCTACGTTCACAGCGGTGAAGTGTGTGTTTAAGGCCGAAAAATGAACATGCTTAGTCAAACGATCAACAACTACCAATATCACTATCTTTCCAGCCACCAAAGGGAGGTGCGTGATGAAATCCATGGCGATCTCATCCCAGATTTTACTTGGAATAGGAAGCGGCTGGAGCAGGCCTTGTGGTGCCCTGTTGAAAGGTTTGGTAGCTTGGCAAACCGAGCAGCGAGACACATACTCATGGATCGTAGTACGCATCCGGGGCCAATAAAAAGTTGCAGAAATGCGGGCCAAGGTTCTCTGGATGCCAGCGTGCCCTCCCACAGGGGAATTGTTCAATTCAGCCATAATTAGCAGCTGGAACCCGGACTCCGGTGGTATAACAACTCGGCCTTTGAAGAGCAACACTCCATCGGCGCAGGCTATGGTGTGGGAATTTGGCAGGTTCTTGTTGTATTTCAGCAATCAATTGAAGGGTAACAGGATTCGTGGCATAGAATTCTCTGAGTACCTTCCATATAGCAATAATTGGCTGAGATGTGGCTGACAGGGCTAGAAAGGTCTCTGGTTGTTGACGGGATAGAGCATCAGTAGGGCCATTCTCACGACCGGGTTTAAAGACGATATCAAAATCAAAACCCAATAACTTAGTGACCCATTTCTGCTGCTCCGGGGTTTGGATGGTCTGATCCAGCATAGAACGGAGACTCTGGTGGTCTGTCTGGATAATAAAACGTCATCCCAAGAGATATTGTCTCCACTTGCGGACCGCTTCCGTGATTGCAAACATTTCCTGCGCGTAGGTGAAGGAGGCCTGTAATCGCGGTGACATTTGTTTGCTGAAATAGGCCACAGGGTGACCGTTTTGAGAAAGGACTACGCCAATGCCGGAGCCAGATGCATCGGTCTGTATCACAAAGGTGGTAGAGAAATCTGGCATAGAAAGGACAGGGGGTGTGAGCATGGCCTTTTTTGAGTTCTTTGAACGCAAGAGTGGCTTCATCGGACCATATGAAGGCTTGTTTGCATAGAAGCTAGTTAAGAGGACCGGCGAGGGAAGCATAATTTTTGATGAACCGACGGTAGTACCCTGTAAGTCCCAAGAATCCACGAAGTTGTTTGACCGTCGAAGGTAGTGGCCAATTCTGAATAGCAATCAGCTTATCCAGATCAGCCGAGACGCCATTTGCATTGATGACATGTCCAAGATAGTTGATTTTGGTACACCCAAATTCGCACTTGGAAAGCTTGGCAACCAAACAGTGTTGCGACAACAGGGTAAAAACAGTGCGAAGGTGATGCAAATGGCTATCCCATGAATTGCTGTAAACCAATATGTCATCGAAGAAGACGATCACAAAGCGGCGAAGAACCGACTTGAAAACGGAATTCATTAAGGCTTGAAAGGTGGATGGGGCATTGGATAGTCCGAATGGCATGACTAAGAACTCGTAGTGGCCCTCATGTGTTCTGAAAGCCGTTTTCTCCACGTCTGCCAGGTGGATTCAGACTTGGTGGTAACCGGCCAATAGATCAATTTTGGAGAAAATTCGCGCCCCAAACAATTTGTTAAGAAGCTCGTCCACCGTGGGGATAGGAAATCGATCCTTGAGTGTCACCGCGTTAAGTGCGCGATAGTCAGCGCAAAACCGCCATGTCCCATCTCTTTTCTTAGTCAGTGAGATTGGTGCCAAGTAAGGGCTACAACTGGGTCTAATCATCCCCCCTGCCAACATCTCACCAACTAGCCGTTCAATTTCAGTTTTTTGAAAATGGGGGTATCTGTAGGGTTTCACGTTGACTGGTGGGGTATTGGGAAATAAGAGGATGCGGTGATTGGAGGCACAGGCAGGGGGCAGGCCGGATGGAGGTTTGAATAGGTTGGGGAATTGCTGGAAAAGTTGGGTAATGGTTGTGAGGAAGGAAGAAGGGGCAGTCGGGTTAATGGGTTGGGTTGTTGGAGTATCATGTGGGTGGTAGGTAATGTTGCTATGGAAGTATTGGGCTGTATGGGTAGTTTGGACCCAATTCAGTGGGCTGGTGAGTAATAAGGAAATGGAGGGTTGGGTAAGACCACATAGGCGAATAGTAGTACTGTGGTGCTGAAATTCCATCCATAGACCCTTGTAATCAAACATAATGGGCCCAAGTTGAGCGAGCCATTGAGCGCCCAAAACAACATCAGCTCCAAAAATAGGGACGACAAACAAATCAACTTGGAAGTGGGCTTGGTCCAGGAGTAGGTCCGTTTGGCGACAAAGCCCCACACAGCCCAAAGTGTCGCCATTGCCTACTGTCACTCGAAGATGGGGAGATTCTTGAACGGCTAACCCTAGATGGTGGGCTAGGCGTGATTGGATGAAATTATGAGTGGAGCCACCATCGATCAATACGACCAAATCCTTACCCTTAATAGATCCGGCGAGTTTTAGGGTAGAAGGAACTGCTTGCCCGGTCAATGCATGGAATGAGATTTGCGGCTCCGGTTCTGGAAGAATCTCCGGTGGGGAAGTAGTAGAGCCCTCAGTTTCCGGCGATTCTGGTGGATCCTCCTCACTATCAGCCAAGAAACAGAGAAAAAGGGCGGGTTTACATTTATGGCCCGAATTGAATTGTTCATCGCAATTGTGTCACGGACAGTTTTTCTTCCCCACGAATTTGGGTGGTTTGCTGCAAAACAGGCTATTTTCGTAGACGGACATGGGACGGAAGGCTCTAGAGCCTTGTGGAATTCTCCGGTCAAATCTTGAAGATTCTGGAATTTTCTAGAGAGGCCCCGGAACTATCTAGAAACGGGTGGAACCGTGTGGAAGCTACCCCGAGTTTGCTAGAACCGTGTGGAAGATTCTAGAGACTTGTAGATATTTTGAACTTAGAATATTTTATTGTAGGAATTCTCTAGAATTCCATTATTTTATTATGTACATAGAATTCTCTAGAATTCTTTAGGACTTGGGGTTTGCCTATAAATACCCCATGCCCCCTTCATTTGTAATCCATCCAAGCTTTGAGTAGAATTCTCAAGCATTCCTTAAGCTCTCTTGTGCCTTCATCGTTCTTTCACTTTCAACCTTTCTTAAGTTTTTCTTTGCCTCCGTTCTTTAAAGTCTTACCTAGCTTTGCACGCTTTGGAGGTCTTAAGGCTGAGCTAGCACTTGATCGTTAGTTGTTTTGTGCTAGTGCCGCACGGCCGTTACTTGGAAAAACTAAGCCCGTGACAGTTGGTATCAGAGCCTCGGCTCGATACTTGGTGTGCTACATCGTCTACGCTTCCGTTTGTTAGTTTTCTTTCGTGCATAAGCTATGTCCAATCCTTCGGAGGTTGTTCAAGGGTCGGAGCTTGAGGGGGATCACGTTTCCCGTGAGGTGGGGAGGACCACCCGCAAAGGAAGCCGCAAGGAGAAGTCGGTCGTTAGGGAGCCGATGGTGGAATTCGAGAAACGGCTTGCCAAGCTAGAGCTTGCTGTGGCCGACCACCAAGACCGTTGGGACGAGCACCCTGAGGTGGTAGCGGGGGTCGTCGAAGCTCGCATGGAGCGATTCGCAGGGGAATTGCAAGAGGTCATGCAGCAA